GTTGAAAGATTTTCCTTGTGGAAATAGGAATAAGTACATCAAGATAAGAGTTTTTTGTCTTTCTTGTCACACATTCATGTTATAGCTAGTCTAGAATGAATGATTATAGAATAACCAAAAATAATAGACTATCTGTACTTGGAGGGGGGATTGCTCCTATGTGTAGATGATTTATTTTCTTGCATCCATTGGATCAATTTACTTAAAAAGCTCTTTCTCCTGAAAAATAGGTGTATCTGAAGGAATTCAATGGAAACCTGTAGTATTTAGTATTTTTTTAAAAAAATGGACAGGTGCACACTCAACTTTAATAGAGTTAACTGATGCTAGCTATAATGCAGATACTGTGCCAAAATATTTTACTGCACTAGGACTCACCAAAAAAAAGTTTCAGCATTGAACTGATTGCCACTTTTTGTAGTCCTCCCTTTTAAACTTTGCTGTTTCAAGGTAGTGCTTTAGAACATTCTGACTACTCATACCTAGAATGGCTGTCAGCATAATATCGGGAGTATCTAGTTTTCAAAATGTACCACTGTTGATGCTGATTTGTTTCAGATGTAACCGTGTTGATCTAACAAACCATAGCTTATTGGACAAAAGGACAAACATTTCCATGCAGTTCCTTAGAAAGGGACTTTTAATCATTCATTTCCTAGAATTTCTTAAATTGCAATTTTCTGCTCCACCCAAACTCTATCTCTGAAGAAACTTAGCTTGCAAATCATACTAAACCACATTCACATGTACTTTCCTAGTGTGGTCATAACAAGGAACACTTGCTTGGTAAAAAGCAAACATCTTCCGCTGGCAAAGTGCCTCATGGTATCCTGCTGAACAAACTAGCTAAAAGTGGGCTACATGGCACAGCTATCAGGTGGATCCACAGTTGATTACATAATTAGATTCAAAGAGGGCTTAGCATCAACACTTACCAGACTGGGGGTAGGTGACAGGTGGGTTACTGCAGGGTTCAGTCCTGAGCCCAGTGCTCTTCAGCGATTTTCTTAATGATTTGAATGCAGAGGTGAGGAATATGCTTACTGTGTCCACAGGTGATACAACATTGGGTAGAAGACAGAAATATAATTCAAAATAATCCTGATAGTTGGAATACAGGGCTAAAAACAAGAGAACAAAATGTAATAGGGGCAACTGCCTAGTTCTGCACCTAGAAAAAGAAAGCAAATGCATTGTTACTTGATGAGAGATACCTGGCTCAACAATAGTACAAGAAAGAAGGATCTTGGAATTATAAATTGCAAGCTGAATAGGAGCCAACAGTGTGATGTGGCTGCGAAACTGGCAGATGCTATTTTGGGCTACATTAAAAGAAGTGTCACTTCCAGATCACACAAAGAACTTGTTCCCCTCCCATCAGCATTGGATAGGTCTAATCTGAGGTACCACATTCAGTTCTGTGTATCACAGTTTAAGAAAGATGCATGCAACTGGAAAAGGTACAGAGGAAGGCAACAAGGATAACCAGGGGTCTGGAAACAGTCTTCTGAGTCATTCCAGGATGCAAGACATGGAATAATGGGCTTCAGTAACTGGATTTCAGCCAAACATTCAGAAAAGTTTCCTGGATGTAAAAGCAATGCAGCAATGGAGACAATTACCTAGCGATGTCATGGACTCTCCCACACTGAAGGCATTCAGGATGGAGCTGGATAACCATCAGTTAGAGAAGCTTTAACATGGAGTCTTGCACTGAGCAGGTGGTTGACCCCTTCCAACTCTGCTATTCTATGACTCTATGAAGATGCAATTGGGTCGTAAGAACGATGCCATCCTTTCCTCTATTACTGAACTTGGTTGAGTGCTTAACATGTTTGAAAGCTAAATGAGACAAAAGTGGGGGGGAGTGGTTCCTTCTTACTAGAGGCTGGTGGCTTATGTTCACGGAAGTATGAATTTGTGAATGTAAAATAAAAAATATTGAAAAGCCCCCACATGGCTTGAATTTTTGCGATGTGTATAATTTAGGAGATAGAAGAACTGAAGAAAAAACTGGAGCTGATGATGGAATTAGCCTGTGCAACACCTTTGCCATGTTGATTGTGCAAATGTGTCCAGTAATTCTTCTGGAGGAGAGAGAAAGGGTTGCATGACAGGAAGTTGAAATATTCCTTGCTGCAGTATACAGAAATATTTCAAAAAGGAGGAAAGGGGAAGGGAAACATGTTTGCTTTACCACTCTCCAGTCACCTTCTTTCTCTGCTGTATAGCAGTAAGTCCTGTACAGGACAACAGAGGGGAAAGTGCCCCCTTTTTCTTGCCTTCCTCCTGGAACTCCCTTGTCTTTCCTAGGCTTGCACGGCAGTGTAAGGACCCTGTTCCACGTTGGTGGCTGGTTTTATATGTTCCTTTTTATTTGTTAAAAGGGTTTCTATCCTGCCTTTCTAAGTAAATGCTCATGGTTCCTAATATAAATAAAGGACGGAGAATATATGGAATCATCTCATTGCAGTTACATTTGTTGACTTCTGAGTGGTGGATGTGCAAATTTTGCAATATGGTAAAGGTTGCAGTGGTTGTATATGCTGTTGCAGGCCTTTGACCTCCACAGATACACAAATTTGAGCTTTGCTTGCATGCTTCTGCTTAGAATAGTCTACTTGGTATTTTATGAACTGAGGATTTAAGTGTGTTTACAGGGCATGTAACTAGGCTAAAGATGTCTGCGATGTAATGCATGTTAACTTGGCATGCTCTTCTGGCTATCAGCTGAAAAGAATTTGCTGTTTGCTATGTTTAGGGTACAAGTAATAGTTTCCTGAGACACACACAAATGAAGCACTTTTTAATAATGAGAGGAATATATGTAGTAACTTACTGGTGCATATTTTTTAGGGAGGAATGAATCTGTAGAGCAGTAATCATAAAAATGTAGGATTGTATGTATGTTCTTTAGGGCTTTGGGCCTTTAGGGCTATGGTCATAGAATAGAAGCTGTTTGTGAAAATTTCCGATGCCAAAAATTATACTAGAGAGAATTTTCAATGGTTGGGACTTCAGTGCCCCATATAGAAACAGAATAAATTATGAATTGAGGAAATTCTGCTAACAGAACAGCATTTTTCCTCATGCAGAATTGGGATGTTTCTCAGCAAGGCACAGTAGTTGCATATGGCTTGTTTAACCTGCCTTCTCCAAGCAACATGCTTTTTAAAAAAAAAAAGTATGTGTGGTAAATGCTCAGCAGAAATAGATGTCTGTGTAATATAACGATATAGTGACTGAAGTCTAAGGGGAGGCTATTGTGAGCAAGCACCTGTCACTTTGGCAAAGCATGAGCTGTGAACTGACGTCAGCACTTTGGCTGAAATGCAGCTCTGCGTGAACGAGGAAGGAGGCTCTCTTCAACAAAAGTGTGTGTGAATCAACTCTTTACCCAGTGCACTTAATCCCCAGAAACTCTGGGGGATGGTTTTGCACAAGAAGGTAATCTTGCAGAAAGAAGTTGCATACTTAACAGTTGTCTAATGGGAACTGCTTGCCCATTACGTACACCTGTTGTTCATGTCACAGTAGTGTTTCATTGTGAATCTTAAGCATCTCAAACTGGCTTTGATTCAACCGCATTTTGAATCAAAATAACCATTTTCCCTATGGTCTGGCTTCCTACTAACAGTGTTGTTATAATGCTGCCACTCAAGTTTGATTGCATGACAGCTTCAGTGAAGCTAGTTCTGAGAGACATGCAAATCAGAACAGAAAAGTTAAGGCTGTTCATTTTTCAGGAAATGTACACTGGACATATGGCCCAGTCCTCATTAACTTCAGTGTTTTGCCAACCTGTTTGCAGTCTTGTCTCTTGAACTGTTGCTACCGCAATAACTTACTATAAAGTCTATAGTACTATAAAATCTGTCTTGACTAACACAAATCAACTTTGTCCTCTCATTCCCTCATTAGCTAGAAGCCAGCAGTAGAAATTATTTAGGTCCATCTTTGCTCTTCTCTATGTCCTGGACCCAGAACCCTGCCCTGCCCCCCCCCCCCATCAGTTCACTTCTCATTCATGTGCTATTAACAGCTATTTATTCCAAGTACATTTCTTACTTATTTTCTTTACTTCTCTCTTAAATGTTGAGATTGTATGGGGTGAAATGACTTCCACAGTTTGTAGTGTGATTGTAAGCATAGAAAATGCCTTTCTTTTTATATTTTATGCTTGCATTACTTGAATTTACCATAGTTGAAATCTTTAACAAGGCCTGGTGTTATACAGGATGAGGGAAGAACTGCCATTAAGCTGGAGTTGTTCAAAGCTAAAGACCTGGTTTGCACATAATGGTAAACATGTGTTGTTAAATTTTGGCTTGTTATGATGTACAAACTGAGCCACACTAACAAATCATGGTTTGTACAGGCAGGCATATAGCTCCACAAAGGCATTTTGGAATTGATGGAGTAAGCAAAGGAAGAGGAAACAAACAAGTCAGAAAATGAGTGAGGGAAAGTCACAGTTTATTCAATACTCTGCCAAATAGATCTTGGATAAGGCAAGAGTACATAGGTGGGATGAATTGGCTTTGTGTCCAAGCCTGGTCATGAATACTGGATTTTAAAAGTTCATGATCTGTTATCTTCACTGAGATTACCATGAAGCCATTGGTTGCCCTACAGATTTTTTGAGTTGGTAGCCAGCCATCATTTTCTAGGAGGCAATAAAGTTAAGATTTCTTTCTTCTTCCTCCCTTGAGAAAGTGTATATATATTTTCCTATATATCTATCAAGATGGTTTTAAAAGGAGTGGGACAAACAATGGTATTTGTAGCAGTCTTTCTTTGACCTGCCTTCAATAACTCCTAGTATAAAATCAACCTGTTGCCATTTTGAAATAGACATTCCTGTTTTTCCCCATGTTATACTGGTGGTTTTGACTGCATTTATGGACCTCTGCATGAGAGCTAAGCATTACTTTTTGCTTTTGAATATCATATCCATTACATTGTCTCTCTAATTTTTCGTGCAATATTTGCTTTTGTAGGTGCAGGACAATTCACCAGGACATAGAGCTGGATTGGAGCCATTCTTTGACTTTATTGTTTCTATTAACAGTTCAAGACTGGTAAGATAATTTCTGAAAAACTTTGCAGGTGTTAAGTCTTTTGAAATGGGTTTCTGAGAATCAAAAGTCAAGTCTCTTAATGTTACAGCCTGGTTTTCATGTATGAATAGTGATGTATTTTAACCTAGAATTCTATGATTATGTCATGCTGGATTTAGGCTTGGGGGCTGTGGGGAGAGGTGCTCTTTCACAATTAAAAAGACGTTATGATCTGCCAAAATGTATTTTGAGGGAAGTGTAAATTACTGTAGCTATTCTAGTCTCTCCAATAGCTAGAGGAAAAGTAACTCCCAAAATGATTCCGCAAGCGTAGGATTTCTGCTGATGGATTATTGCTGAAAGAAGAAAGGATTGATCACTTTCTTCTACTGTGTTCCTGCTCTGGCATCCGTCACATGGTTATTTTAGGCCAAAATGGGAGGGGATGATTTCAAGATGGTGGTCTGTCTGGATTTTTCCAAGCTTTCTGCAGCAGGAAGTGCAAAACAGAAGCAGTCCGGCCTCATTTCTTCATGTAACTGTAGAATATGCAGGAAGAAGCAAGGGGGTTGCAGTGAATAATTTTGAGCATAGTTAGCAGGGAATGAAATCTGTGCCAGCAGAACAGAGATGGTTGGCAGTCTTCCGGCATATTATTTGCTTAGTTGCCTAGGATGCCATCCTTTTCTCAGCAATGTTAAATCAGGAATGCCTTCAATGGTATAAGACATACAATCAGGCCTCTTTCTCCTTTGAATATATGGTATTACATCATTATTAATGCAGTACATAAATTATACATATACACTAATAGTCACCTTCAGAACTGAAAAAATGGGTTGGATACACACTAAGTTAGTTGCACTTTGTTCCCAGTGAAATCATCACTTTGTCCTACTGAAATCAGTAGGACTGAAGTTCAGCTTACTTAGGGTGTAGTTAAATGGGCTGTGCTCTCAATGCTTGTGAGCCTCCAAAGAAGGCCAGAGGGCAGCCAGGGCCTCATATCTTGATGGCCTCAGTCATCTTCCCTCTCTGACCACTTTAACCCCTCTATAAATTCAGTTTTTCTGACATTGGAGAGGCAGTTGAAATGGTTCTTTCCCTGCTGGATTTGTGGGGGAAAGGGATTGGCATGTGCATCCCCAGCTCCAGGTCAGAGCTCTGTTTCCGACCTCAGATCTGAGAATCTGAAGTATTCTGTGGCCCTCCAGATGCTGTCTAGGGTCCTAGGATTACTTTTCCCATCCACCTCCAACCCAATAGCTGTGTAATTTTTAAGCACAACTTTTCTGGAATTTAAGCTGAGGTACTACAGTATGTTCCAGTTGCACAAGCACCCTATTTGGCAGTGTGCTACTATATTAATTGGCACAGTGCTTTAATAAGTAGGGATTCTTCAGCCTGAATGGGTTGGCTTTGATCTTTAGTTGTGTGTGGAACAACCTAGTTCAGGTTTCTACTTTCATTTGTCTGTAAGTGTCTTCGAAATGTATATATGCTAATTTATAGGTGAGCCTAATTGCAAATCACCTCTGAAAGCAATGCTTCTACACCTTTCCTAGAATAAAGACAATGACACACTCAAGGACCTGTTGAAAGCAAACGTGGAAAAGCCTGTCAAGATGCTGGTGTACAGCAGCAAAACGCTGGAGCTCCGAGAGACCTCAGTAACTCCCAGCAACATGTGGGGAGGGCAGGGGCTGTTGGGAGTGAGCATTCGCTTTTGCAGTTTTGATGGGGCCAATGAGAATGTCTGGCATGTGCTGGTAAGTGGACACTTCCAAAGGTTTTCATAGTGAAGAACATCCTTTACAGATCTGGGTGTGCAGATTCTTCTGCCTTAATTTACTTACACACCTAATTATAAGCAGGCTTGTGATTGGAGCATTTCTGCGGCAGCTTATCTTGTGCGAGCATGATAAACCATCTTACCTTGCTGTTCCATTTTTCCCCTTTTCTTTTTTTTCCTTATGTTACCAATCCCTCATGAGCAATCAGGGTTGGGGAGCCTTTTTCTAACCAAGGATCAGTTTGCCCCTCAGGAAACATCCTGAGGGCCGCATACCAGCAGCGAGCATGGCCATAGCCAAAGTGGGTTTGGCTGCATCATTCCCACACGGTTTGCATGTGCATAGCATTCCCCCACACACATACCGACACATCAGCTGATCCAGGCAGATCAGCCAAGCAAGGGGCTATTTCTCAGTGCTGAGCACAAAATAGGCCCTGATCTCTGATGAGCTGATGATCCAAGTTAGGCCTGGGGGAAAAGTTGGTGGGCTAGAGTGTCCCCATGCCTAAACTTACATGGAATTGGAGCTTCAGGCTGCTTTCACCTGCTTTAGTAGTTGATATAGGAATAATTCTCTGCCCATTTCTGTTTTCCCACTTTCCCTCTTGTGTGACAGTCTGTGCCGGTAAAAACTAGCATTTTTATCTTCCCAGTCCAGCACATGTCCGGATCTAGCAGACACTGGCAGTGCTGCAGTGGGGTTTCCAGTGTTATACTGGTGTGTAAAGGCATCAGTGCAGGAGCTGCATGCAGCACTCAGCGATACAGGACTGCATTATGTGGAGTTCATTCATACCTCAGATAGGATCCCCTGTGCAGCAGTATCTGCACAGAGATTCAGCTTTGCCTGTCTGTGTGTGCACAGACTTCAGGGCCTCTCTCTTTGGAGGCAGCTTTTTATTCCTTGGCTAGGAAGACAGCATGACTCAACGTGCTTTCTAAAAGTTAACGGGGTGAGAAATGGGGACAAGTCTGTGTCTTGTGTGGTTCTTGAATGTTTCATAAAATGTTTCATAAAACAGTCATTCCTCAGTGCAGAATGGCATGATACAGATGCTGATTTTGTTGTCCCCTTCCATGCCTGACGGGGGCTCTACCTTATGAGGCGGAGACTCTGTGCAAAGTTACACGAGGAGCACGGCTGGGGAGAGGGGGCAATGGGCCACAAGCCATGCCAGTCGTTTTGGTCATGGGCTTATTGAGGCAAGCAATAGGTGCTATCACCTTTAATTTTTCTGTGTTAAAACTTCCATTTCTCAATTTTTATGTCTCAAAACTAGGAAGTTGAACCAAATTCTCCTGCGGCACTCGCGGGTCTTAGACCCCATAGTGACTACATAATTGGTGCAGATACTGTCATGAATGAGGTAAATACTAGCTTCATTTCTTAAGGGACGAGGACCGTGCTAACCCAAGGTCATGTCAGTCAGAGTGGTTTGAGAATTGCTTTGTGGTGGGTATCCTAGAGCTTTGGTCTTCAGTAGATATGAATAATTTGAATTAAAAATGGGCTGTTTTAGTGTAATTGAATCTCCTTTAAAGTTTGTATTAGTTCTGTCTATTTTGTACTTAACATTCCAAGTCTTTAATTTTATATTTAGACTAAAATAAAACGAGTTAATATCTGCTGCAATAACTGGTTCAGTTACGAACTTCAGAAGACAATATAACACTTTCTGTCTTAAAATGGCTGTAGAGAGCTCAGGTTAATTTAGGTGACAGCTTATGTATACTGCAAATGAATTAAAGATACTTTTGTTTCCTTCAGTCTGAGGATTTATTCTCCCTTATTGAAACGCATGAAGGCAAACCATTAAAACTTTACGTATACAACACAGACACTGATAATTGCCGGGAAGTGGTTATCACCCCAAACTCAGCATGGGGAGGAGAAGGAAGGTAAGGTTTTTTTTATTTAAGTCTCATGTAGGGCCATGCCACTGTGAGTTGTTTCAGGATGTGTTCCACACAAATAGATCGATACTACAGAGTGCTGAGGATCCCAACATATTTGCCCATGCAGATGAGACTTGCTATTGAAGATGTGCAATGAGAAATGTTGAATTAAGTTTTTCTCTCAAAAAATAACAGTTCATGGAATTAACAGTGTTACATAGCTTAACTCTCCAACTCTTGCTAGTTATAATGTATAAAATGCTGTGCATTGTGGAGAATAGAGTTATAAATAATTACACATTCTTTCACATTTGGCTTTTTAAAAATTGCAAAAATGAGGAATGGGAGCAAAATTTGGAATTGTTTTCCTGAAGTCAGCTGGAGAGATTTATACAAGTATAATTTTGCAACAACAATTAATATAAGGCAGTCATCAGATAGACACTGTCAAGCCCTGTAGTGCCTGAAGAACTGCTGCCTTCCACGTGAAGAACTGCTTGTGCGTGAAGAACTGGGCCAGAGCTGTGTTTGCAGACTCCCTTCTCTTCTGTGGGCCGGGGGGCGGGGGGCAGCTTTAACTATGGAAAGTTCTTTCCCCAGGGCTGTTTTCCTGGTAAACTTTTGGCCAAGAGTTTTTATATACCCAGTTGACATTAGCTGCTTTTTTCTGTCATGTTTTAAGTTGCCATTTTGTAAAAAGTTGCTTTATTGTCTTGTTTTAACGCTTTGGTAAGCTTCTGTGGAAACTCTTTCGAAACTGAGATGTTTAATTCATGATGTCCAAGTGGCACACGCATGCTGTATTCTGGCCTCATAGATGAAGTGCTGGTGATTGTTTCCTGGCAATGCAACATACAAGACTACAAGAAAGGTGCCTCTTCGGCAAAAGAGCTACAAGAAGTTGCTTGTTTAAACTGGGTAATCTAATCTCTTTTATATTTATATTTTAAAAGCCTAGGCTGTGGCATTGGCTATGGATACCTGCATCGAATACCTACACGCCCTTTTGAAGAGGGAAAGAAAATTCCTCTTCCGGGACAGTTGCCCAGTACACCTCTTACTCCACTCAAAGATGGATTTACAGAAGTAAGTTATAATGCTTTGGAGATGGGGTGACTTATACCCTGATCCTGCCCACTGGCATCTGAGCATCCCTGCACTAACTGCATAATTTCCCACCAAAGGGATGGGGGAAGGTTGATTAGGATCTGCTAGTGGATTTCTGAATGATTTCCAGCATATCAGCAAAGATTTGACTCCTGGATATTTAACAAAAGCAGCAATAAAGTGACCTTTCCTCACTGAAATGGGGAAATGAAGGAAATGTAGGGTAACTGACAATAGATTCAGTTGTGGAAGGACTGTGAGCTTGGCTGCGGCCTCAGAGCTGCTCAGATGTGCCATGTTCTTTAATTGTGTGCGCATGTTGGTGGATCTTGGGATTCTTCGGAAGAACACGAATTAGATCCTCTAAGCCTAACATCTGCCCTCGGATCTTCCTTACACTGACGCTATTCCACATCACTTTCTAATAGTGCTGCCGTAAGGATGGACCATTACTGAAAGCTGTTTTGTTCATGGTTACAAATTCCACAGAAGCAGGAGGCCTCTAATGTAGCCTTTTTTTAATCAGGTTCAGCTGTCTTCGGTTAACCCCCCAGCTTCATTACCTCCTGGAACTACAGGCACCGAGCAGGGCCTGGCCGGGCTTTCCATCAGCTCCACGCCTGCTGTCACGAATGTGCTCAATACAGGTTTGCCTTCTTACACAGTCATGTTCACAAATGCTGATGTGCCTCACTCCCATGTTTCACACCTCACTGCCTCCGTGGGCAAAGGGCAGGGCCTCATTGACCTTTGTGCCACCAGACTGTCAGGTGTAGTATTACTGGAGGCAAGGGTGCCTCTGGTCCATTTGGTCCATTTCTCGCAGAATGGGCCTGCAGTCAACAGTGGTTGGATCCTTGCTTCCGCGGAGAAACAAGACTCCAGCTTCCTTTCCTGCAGCAACCCCTTAAACTTCCATTGATCTGCTCCTGTGGCCTGGGGGACCCACTGAAACAAGTCACACCCCCTTGCACAAGAACAAACTTTCCATCTGTGCAATCCAAGCCAGTATAAAACAAATACTGCTTACCACCAAAACAACGTGTTCCGAAATAGGTATGAGTGGCTGGATGCCCATTCTGCATGTGTGCCTCAGGCAAAGAGGCAAAATGGCTTGAGTCGAACCATCTCGTTTTGTGAGTCATTGAAAAAAGAATGCAGGAATTCCTGTGTTTCCTCCTTATCCTATGGGTACAGTATGACCACCAGTATATCCTTAGAACTGGGAGCTGCAACCAAACAGTGCCATGCAGAGTGCTTAGGTTCCACTGAGTTATCTGTGCTCTCCGCTAGAATTCTCCATTCATTCTGTCCCCTCTTGGCCACAGAAGGATTGGCATTTGCCTCTGCACTTCAGAAATAATTTGTTTATCCTCACAATAATCCTGCAAAGTAGGTTACTGTGGCTGCGCAGGGCTACCTCAGTCTTCTTCATAGGACTGTGATTATTTTTCATTAAGTCTGATATAATGTTTATGCTAACTGTATAAAAGTCCTGGACATTAAGATGGATTTAGATTATTAGAAAGAACTAGAAGAATCATGAGGTCACTTTCAGCCGCACACACGCATATTGACAGTATGTGTTTAATAGGTTTGTTTGTTTTGTTTTTTGGCAACTGAACATTTAGAAAAAGTGTAGAGTCTGGAAATCCTGTGCTGGTTAATATTCAACATTGTTTCTCTGAATAAAATATTGTGATGGGAGATGTGTTTTTCTTAACTCTCTGATGATCTGCTGCCAGGTAAAACTGGGCTGGATGAGCATGTTATTTTGCCTGTTACTTTCAAAGCAAAATATACAATGAAAGTTGGCATTGTTTTTGATTAGGTGTTCCCACAGTACCATTGTTGCCACCCCAAGCAAACCAGGCTCTTCCTCCAGTTAACCCAGCAGCTACAGCACCAGGTAGGTAGTAACCACATGAATGAAAACCTTAAATGGGCCACAAAAAGAATATTTTTCAAGGAGCAAGAGACTATGAAATGTCTTTCCTTGATTAACACATCAAAGTTAAGTGTGTGTATTACACAGTTGCTCATTTTGCCAGTGCTCCAATTCTGTGGCAAAGGGATTATTTTGCAGATTTTATATCCTTTTATTAATGTATTTTAATTGTAGTGCATCTTCACATGCTTAACCTGAAAATAAATGTACTCTAATTAGTGTTGGTAATACACACATTGCACATTCCCTTAAACACAATCCCATCAATTTAATATTGGCACTCACCAACTGATCAGTAAAAGCTTCAGTTACTCTCTGAATTATAAGTCCTCATGGGAAATCTAAGGTTTGTAATAATACTTTGATTTTTACTTTTATCTTCTCAGCTAAAGTTCCTAGTTATGCTAATATGTATTTAAAACTGCTTTCATAAAAGATAAAATCCAGTTAAAGCTTAAAAATAAAGCAGTGTAAATGGTAGACACCCCAGAAGGAAATAGCCATCAAAGCAGACTATATTTCAGTAATATGTAATCCTAAAATATTGACAAGCAACGCTAAAATGGTTTAGTTAGGTTTTAATGCAACCATTTCTGTGTTGGATATGCTATTTCCAAATTGTTTTACTGGTGTGATTAGGAAATGGTTCTATATTGCTTTATATTTTAATACAGTATATTGTGTTCTTTATATTCCTTAAGTGTAAAATTTGAAAGTGTTGTATTACATTGCATTTTTTTTACATTGATGTTTGCTGTCTTGGATGGACATAGTCCAGAAAGGAAGCTTAGAACACATGCCAAGTAGCAATCATAATAAGCTTCCTAGTTTTCTGGAGTAAGGAAAACCCCCTCATCTTTTCGAGGAGCACAGGTGCAGCCCAATCGGTCATCCTGGGGTCCCATTCTGCCCCTACTGAGGTCTCCAGATGACCATACTCTTTTTCCCCCAACCACTGATCATTTGGTAGTTTCCCAGGTTTTGTGCCGTTTCCCCCATTCTGTAAGTTTGAAATATCTGTCCTGAGGATTAGCTACTGGCAGTAAGAGCTTTCAGATGAAATATGCTGGCGCTTCCCTTTCTGGTTCAGCCCAACTCACTCTTGGAGTAAAGAGGAGACCCAAAAAGCAGGGTGGCATTAACGACTTCCCTTTATGGAGTAACTGGAGACTCAGGAAGTGTTTGAAAAGATGGAGGACACTGAGAAGGGGCAGTTCAACTCTTAACTTCGAGAGGACTGCATCACTAAGCAGGAGACATTGTCCATGTGCCCTTTCATGATGCATTCTCCTTTGCCTCTGGGCCCTGGCAGTCGTGCACAGGTTAGTCCACATGCAGGCTCCTTTTGGCAACAAGCACCTACAGGGCAATCGACCCAACAAGACTGCATGTAAGAGCCCACTTGCCAAAACCCAAGAAAGAAATGACAAGAACGCAGCTGCTCGGTGTTCAGGGGCCAATAAAATAAACCTTAGCTCAACCGGAGACTTTTAAGACTCCAAAGGAAAAAAAAGGTAAATAAAGAGACATACAATCAGAGCAGGAGGCTGGGGGAGACAAAGACAGTTCTGCTGTGAAGGTCACTGGGATACTGGCTGGAGGACTGGGGGAGTAAAACAAGTCATGATGAGGCCAGTTACAGGCCAGGGACACCGTGGGTGTTGCACAAGCAAGCCACACAGCACAGACTCTTTTCAGGGTGGTCAAGTGTGTCATGGGAATGCAGTGGTTGTGCTGAAGTTGCTGTATGGAGTGCATGCTATCATGCAGCCAGCAGGGAAAGAACAGCAGCACTAGCAGCAAGTAGCCTTACATTCCGATGGCAGAATTGTCCAGTTCTCAGGGAACGCTTTAGAAAACCTTTATTTCTGTGACCTGGCTCAATACCAGTGCGCACATAATTTTCTGAAAGTCACAGAGGAAATTGGTTCCCTGATACCACAGCTAAGAGCGTGACATTCACAAGGATGTGTCTCGCAAACATCCCCAACTGATAACTGTTCCCTTGTGCAACAGCCTGCTTCTGGCAAATACTGTGAGGGCTCTCCGAGTGCCATTTGCAGTTCTTGTGTGTCTGCAACATACAGAATTATGGGAAGGCTGGCACTGTCAACTCAGCACCAGTCAGCTGAGGAAAAGCATGGGGCACCCAGTCCAGCCTCCTGCGCAAATGTATGTCCCTGGAAAAGATTGGTATGGTCAGAGTAAGAGCACCTCTGGTAATTCCTGATCCAGCCATGAATACATGTGCTAAACATTCTTCCTTGGCCACCGTGTGATGATTGGCTGAGAACAAAAAGTTCTCTTGTCAAGTACACAGTTCTTTGTTGAGCTTTTCCAAGTATAATGCCACACTGTATTTGGTTTTTAATTTCTAATCCCCTTTCTCAAATACAATTTTCTTTTAGGTTTGATGCCTTTACCTGCTGGACTTCCCAATCTTGCTAATATCCCAAACCTGAATTTACCTGCCCCACACCTAATTCCTGGTCCTGGAGTAGCAGACATTGGACATTCTGGTACGTTTCTTCAAAATTCTGGAGTGGCTTTTGATACACCAAGTATAATGGATAGTGTCCACATGGATTTTGTGTAATCTGCACACTATCACAGTGCGTGGGGCGTTCCGTTGTTTGCTCAGAGTATCAGGGACTTTGTGTCATGGCACAGTTTGAAGTATGCACACAGCTGCGAGCAAGTGCTGTAGTTCTGCATGAGGCGAGGAAAGCAGAAAGCGGCCTGGGGCCCAGAATTCTCTTTCCTGAGAATTTCAGCTTTCATTTTGAAAACTGAGCAAGTGCCTAGAGATCATGTTTGAAATTGCACAGACCCAGGGCTGAGCCCAACTACATGAGCCTTCCAGTCATTTTCTTGAAACTTCCTGGGAAGATATTGGCTGAGATCCAGCAAGCTGCAGATCAGGAACAACAAACTCTTGCATTTCCTGGCTGAGTCATTCGTACCATACGAGTCTCAGGAAGGAATGCAGTGGCCTTCTGAATGAGAAGATGGCCAGAGATTCTCCATTGACGTGTCGGCAAGGAGGACATAGTTGCTCAGTTTCTCTATGTGGAGCTGACTCTGGATTTTAACTTGCAATCTTTGTAGCACTTGATGAACACTGCTTCATACGAGATGTGGCCCTCTCTGTGACGCAGTGCCGATACCTAGCCTAATATGGTTGCCAGGAAAGCAGCCTATGAACCAGAAAGACCTAGTTGAGATTTCCTACTACCGGGGGTGGGGGGGGGATGTTCTTTGGCTTTTTTTGGGGGGGGGGGTTGGATCTTGGCAGAGCAGTGGAGGCTGGGAGAGTGTGCAGAGAGTGGCTAGGCAACTGGCAAAGGCAAGGTAGGAGCTGGGCAGAGGATGGGTGAGGGGAAAGCAGTAGAGAGAAGGGAGGCAGGACCAGAGCGGCCCAGGGGGAAGCAGAGGGGCAGGACCAGCAGCCTCTGAAGCTTATAAAGCCACACTCGGCACCGCATCTGTTGGCACTGCCAGTGGCTAACGGTGACGTGACAAGGGTGTCACCCCTTAGCTGTGGTCCTGGCTGCCTGGGGACTCTCTTCACCTAGGTCATTGTTTTGGGTTGGGTTGAGTTGGTTTAATAATTGTTTGTAATTATTACTCTGTCTGGGAGAACTAGGCAGGTAAAGTCAGAGAAGGGTAGTGTAGGACGGACAAGGCGGGGGACCAAGGTGGGGTCTCTGAGGGGTGCCCTATGTCAGGCCAGGCGATGGCCATGGCGGGAATTGTGGGTATTGCTGTCGGCTGCAACACCTGTGACATGTTTGCCCTTCTCCCTCAAGAGAGGCAGGGATACACTTGCCCCAGGTGCAAGCTAATGTCCCTCCTAGAGCAGGAGGTGAGGAGTCTGAGGGCCAGGAGAGCTCTCCAGGCCCCCTGGGAGCAGTCCCCTTCCAAACAGAAGGTTGAGGGAGGGGCCAACAGCTGTGGGAACATGGAAGCATGTCACCCACAGGAGGAGGAGGCTGGCACAGCCTCCTCTGTCACCTGGAACTGACCTGGAGCTGGGAAACAGTTTTCTCCACTTGGGGAGGCTGGGGCCGATGAGGACGTGGGAGACTGACCTGTCTGGGATTCCTGACCTGGGGCCAGTTGCAGCCAGGGGCTGCTGCAGGAGAGGCAAGGACCAAGGCACAGCCATCTACCGCCACCGGGAAGAGGCGGCGGCGGGTGATTGTCATTGGGAACTTTCTGCTAAGGGGCACTGAGGCAGCAGTGTGCTGCCCTGACCGTGAGGCAAGACCGTGAGCTCTGTTGCCTGCCGGGCACCACATGCCACACCACCGGGCATGTGACAGACAGAATAGCACGTCTTCTTCCCACCAGGAGTCATCAGCCACTTCTGGTGATCCATGTGAGGTGACCACACGGCCAGGCAGAGGGTGGTTGGGATTCCTAGGGACTTTGAAGGTCTGGGCAAGAAACGCAGGGACCTGAAGGCCCAAATGGCCCAAAACCTGGTCCTCTGTCTTGCCAGTCTGGGGATTTGGGCCAGCCAGGGAAAGGAGGGTTGCCGAGGTAAACACCTGGCTCACAGTGTGGTTTCAGAAGGAGCACGTCAGGTTCCTCGGCCACGGCACCCGGTGTCTTGCCAGTGGACTCCTGGGAGGCACAGAGAGCACCTCACCAGGATGGGGAAAAGGTCCTTCAGAAATGCTGTACAACCTTCGTCCAGAAGACTTTAAACTGAGCGGTGGGGAGGGTTAGCCCCCCCAGCAACTTGTGAGGGGAGAGGACCAGGTTTTTGGGACCAGGGTGTTAGAGGTATTGCAGGAGCTGGCAGAACTCCTACAAAGAGGAGCCCAGTATCAGGGAAGATGGGAGGAAGGAGGAGGCCAGAGGACCCAAAGAAAGGGATCTGTGGGCCCGTGCACACACTGCCTCTGCCATCCCGTCTGCAGTGGGGCCTGTGCGGACCCGCCTTGTAGCACTCTTGTACACGGGGAAGTCTAGGCACCTGCTGTACATGTGATATTTTCTTGTGTGTGTCTTGTCTCCTAATGCTTTTAGGATTGCCACCACTCTTTTCCATGCCTCCAATAAACCTCGCTGGAATCACACCTCTGTCGCCGGAATTTCTTACACAGTTTCCACTGGTTACTGAGGGGTCCACACGGGCTACGGATCTGCTCACCTCTGCTCCTCAGGGCGGGAGCATGCCTGCCAACCCTGGCATCACTGTGGGTGTGGAGCAGACCCCCGCATTTCACCTGGATGCCACCGCTGCCGCTCCTCCTCCCATCACCACAACTGTTTCCAGCGATCCTGCTGCCAGGGCTTCTGCTCCCGAAGACCGGGGAGACGGGGCAGCCTCGTCCACTGAGAAGCCAGCCTCCTCGGCCACAGAGACAGCAGCTTCTGAATCATCGTAACTTCAGCTGAATGGTTGGATTGGGCTTGGTGTATTTATTCAGCTATGGGATAAATATTAAAAAATGCAAACTACCATTAATTCCATGCTAGTTTGTATTTTGCTGTTAGGATTCCTGTAAATATACTGAGGGTGACTGAAGGGTCTGGGATTTTTATGACAGGCTTGGTGTAAAGCAGGGTAAGGGAGAAGGAGTGCGTATATTTAAAAGAAAGAAAGAAAATATCAAAAGTAGAATACGCAGACTTCAGCTGCCAAAATTTAAGGTATTTTTTTAAAGCCTGATTCAATCTGACTTTATAGTAGGCCTCCTTGCTTACTTTTTCCCTCATGTTTTGCTTCTGTTAGAAATGAAGCAGTTCATGCTTGTGGCATTTGAGACCCATATTTCTTGTACTTTGCAAGAATTAGAATCTTGGTGATACATTGTGAAGGGGTAAAAGTGTTTACTTTTGTCCAAGTTGTACATTTTAGCACTATAAAGACCTTCAAACTAAAACGGTTTTATTAAAAAAAAATCAGAGTGTGACTTGTCAATTCAGCATCATTTTAAAATCTGCTTGTATGCAGATATTTCTCTTGAGCTTCTGCCTGCCCTTACTGGAATTTAAGCACTGCTGCTTTGCTTTAAAGCCCACTGCTGGAAAGCATTTTGATGAAAACAAGGAAAAAACTGGTAACACTGAGGGAGCTCAAAAGCAGAAGAATGAAACTCTTGACTTTTTTGTAAAGCAAGTTATATGGAGAGACCTTACATAATGGCAATAAATTCTGAGAATTTTACCTTGTGACATAAAATGAGCACTTTGTTACATCAGGGCTTAGGAAATTGCATAAATATAACGAACTTCATTTGGTGGGTGAGGACTTAAATTTAGCGAGGCCTCACTGAGTCCAAGGCCATATAACATGCAGCATGCTTCAAGAAACCTTGATGGTCAGTCGACTCGAGGATCCACAAATTATGGCTGAACTTAGGAGCTAGCTGCAAAGTCCAGTCCACCACGATTTTAGAAAGGACAAAATTCTAGGATTGCACTTGTACACAGATTGCAAAGCAGTGCCTCGTTATTACTATGTTTTTAAGTAACCTAGTAAGTGGCTTCCCTTTCCCTTTTATATGCAGAATAAACCGGTCTTGTAGCTAAGGATGCTTTTTATGTGAAACGTAAATAGGCTTCCTTGGTTCCACCCCTACAGAAGGTGACATAAAGGGGTGTGTTAAGAAGTTCCCACAAGCATTTCAGAGACTCGAATTTTGTCCCTGGCTTTGAAGAGAGCAGCTGATTGCCCAGGAGCGGCATGCTGAATGGCTGGGCCTCTCCTCCAGGAGAGTTCCTTTTTGTAGACTACTTGGCTGTTTCAGCTCTTTGAGGGTACTCCTTGAAGGGAGGGAGCATCGTGCCTGATGCCTGCCCACCTGCCCAGTCACACCTCTCCACTTCATGAGAATCCAACACCCAGGATGAGTAATGTACTTTGAGTCTTGCTGCCGAGACCACGACGAGTCCTGCAGAGGAGGTAAACATGCTCCAATGGATTCAGTAAGGTTCTGTGTTCGGGCCAATTTCCTACTGAGTTTGATGGGACGTATTTCCTAGTAAGTATGTGGAGAGTTGCAGACTCCGTCTAGAATAACCGTGATTGGTAAAAATAGACAATACTGTTCTATTCCCGCATAAGCAAGCATCTGCTCTGAGCCTCTTCTTTGTCCCCATGAGAGAGAGATCTGTCACCTCTGCCTCAGGCCAGGTAGCACACATTCCTGTCCAGCAGCGATACCTAAGTAGAAGTCTTTTAGCGATCTGCGTTCTCTGAAAACCACATCTCTTTAAATGGTTTCCTTTTTGAAGGGAGATTGCTTGCAAATGTAGGGTAGCCCTAGGTTTACTTTTGGTGCCATTTGCACAGCTCAAGTTAGCAGATCTGTCTGTGCAAAACTTAATTCTAAGTTGCCTTTATGGGTAGAACCTGTTCAAAGCCTTGTGCAGATAATGCATGCAGGAAGGGACTCAGCTGGTGGTTCATGCCTTCCTAACTTCAAGCTCATGTCAGATTATTGGCAACTCAATGAAATGGCTTGCTCAAAATGTTGACCCAGTGCGCAGCTGCCATGAGCTGTGCAGAAAAATCTGTTAGGCCTAATTAGGAAAGGAATCCGAAATGAAGCTGAGTGCCTTTATACCCATCTGGGGTGCAACCGCACCTGTAATGCTATGCACAGTGGCAGTTGCCACACTTAAAAAGGGATACTTAAGAGTTGGAAAACATCGTAGGAGAGGGCAAATAAAACAATCCAAGGACTGGAGCATAGTTCTATATTTTTATTCTAAAAGTTGAACAAAAGTGGATAACATTGGAAAGTGTTGGTTTTGATGCATACACCTGAAGTGTGTGAATATCTCTGTGTCTGTACACCACCCCTTCAAGGTATCATAAGTTGTTCTATCCATTGGTATTCCATCCATTATAGGAAGTGAACATTATCCTTCAAATGTTGCAATATCCTTCTTTTACTGTCAGACGAGCAAGGAAAATTCATTTGCCCTGACCATGCATTAACCAATAAGCAGGTAAATAATTGGAAAGAGCATGTGCATCAGTAAATACAAAGAGTAAATATCAAGGATCTGTAAAATAATGTCCTTCCAGAAACATTGAACTGTAAAATAATATCCTTCCAAAAAGAAGCACCTGCTTGAGTATTACCAAAATATATGTTTAAATGACCCTTTAGCTGTGTTATGCTCCTCACGGTATATATCCACATGACCACAAAACACTTAACAATTTTTACATCTTTGTAACTGTTATGTGTCACATTTGAAAATCGATAGCTTGGATCTGCCAGCAGTCCACATGGGAATCTCCCCGCAACAGAAGTGGGAAGCAGCTTTTGCTGATCCACCCTCTCAGTGCAGGCACATGTGGCCACAATTGGAGAGCTCTTTGTAGGAGATTTTTGGAGAGTTCAAATGGTCACAGAGGGAGGAAGAAATCAACGGAGGTCATTCCTTTCCCTTCCATTCATGGGATCCCACTTGGGATCAAACACTCTCCTTGGATGGAAGGAGTCCTTAGATGCCAAGTCTGGCTGCAACCCAATATATTTTAACGCATCCAAGCAAAATGGATGCACATCTCCTAGAACTGCCCAAATGAAAGGTCTAACAGTGCCTCTGGAGCTCCAGCTTTCTGTGTGCCTCTAGAAGAGCCAATGACGCCCAGAAGGGCTGTCATTATGGCCTCAGTGCTCACTCTGTTGGGCTATAAGGAACAACCAGCTGCTGCATGTGGGTTAACCTTCTCATTATAGTTAGTTCACAGTTATGCCTATGCAGGAATGTTCTTTATTCCTACTCTTTTACCACACAGTCATCCTTCCGCTTCCTGCAGCTTAAGTTGACCTTGCTTGTGTGCACACTACAGACGCTGTGCTGGACAAGGCCTAAAAGTGCTCTTACTGCTGGCTGATCTCCTTTGCCAACTCTGTTTTGCTACATAGCATCTTCTGTTGGTACACCATGTGCACCTTTATGGCTTGAACTCTACTGGATGATCATAAAATTTGTTATCCATTTGAGCTTCTCTTTCAGATTATATGCAATATCATATTGCAGGACCCAGGGTGTGTAAGGACACTCTTTAAAATGAACATTTATCAGTATAACTACAATAATGTGCCACTGAAAAAAGCTTCATCAGTACTAAGTTGTTATATGCCCACACTAGATCACATTTGTTTACATACTTGGAGCTCCTGTCATCTTGGAAATAGAATGGGTTTAATGTGGCTTCAGGTATAACTCCCTCACCTCTGTGGCTGATGCATGTAAGCCTCTGTTCTTGGAGGCTTTCATGCATTTTCTGCCCAGCGCAAGTCATGATTGCAGCAATCCTGGCCATCACCACCCTTTGCACCAGTAAAAGGTGTTCTCTGGACAGCTGTTTCGGCAGTCTAGCTAAAGCAGTGGGAAAGGGGAGGGAAGGCAGACACACCTGGACCTAGCATAAGCCAGCAGCCCAGCCTCCTTGCTGACTGCCCAGGCTCTTGGTGGCAGCTTGTGTGCTTTCTGCACCAGCTGCATGGAGGGCAGGGTGGGGGGCTTGACCTTTGGAGTCCCGACTCTGAGGCCACAGGAGCTCAGTAGTGGAACTGCAAAGAATCCTTTGGCCTCTGAGACAATGATGGGAGGCCCTAGGGTTGTGCCCCCTTATAGCCACTGCTCTGCACTGTATTTGCAGCTGGGAACAAATTCATACTGTTTTACTCCAAACTGTATTTAACTGTCCCTGTGTAAATGAGGCAATCTAAGTGATTGCGTTTCTTTTCCTGTAACTTGTGCTTCTGTTTGGGAAGAGCTGTGCAAGGTACTAAGTTCCACCCTCAGCTGCCAGTCAGAATTTGGAAGCTTTGTGGGATTTGCTTCTCTTTACAACTGTATTTTTGCAAGGTTATACAGTCTGGTGGATTATAGAGCATTTGTGCTCTTTCTGGTTCTGACAGTCTTAATTTTGCAAAGCAGCAACACAAAGTCACAAGATGCACAATTCCACTTGGCACAACCCTCCTAGTCTTGCTTCTGACTCAGAACTGATGTGTTTGCATGAAATAAATCAGCAGCTAAAAATCATGTGCTGAAAGGATACCTTAGCAAAGGGTTCCTTGTTTATAATACAGAGCATTTATTTGCCCTGGCAATGGTTGCAGAAAACCCTTTCTGGCCTCCATTGTATTAGGGGTTGGATCCAGGTTTACACTAGATCAAATTTACTGATAGACATGAACTTCCTTGCACCTTCTCACCATGGCCCCTCCAGCCACCTGAAAATACTACACAGAGAGTCCAAAGACCTTGTTGAATCTGGGCAGCTGTACTGTGATGGGTTCTTCTCAAATTAGGTGGAGGGCCTTTCCAAAATCACAGCTCTTCCTCTTGCAAAAGGCAGATTGCTGGATCTAGTCCTGGGCCTGCTGCAACAGCTGCACTGTTTTCACTTCTGATCTCCTCTGAGGTAAGATGCAGATTCAAATTATCATCTGTATTGAAAGATCTGCCCATCGGAGGCCCAGTCACTGCAGTTCACAAAATAAAAGTGCCCTGGATTGACATGCAGGATGCAACCTTTTTATTGGGAAATGAGGAGATGCTTTCCTGGAAAAGTTTTACATGTCTAAGATTTTTTTTAATATACTCCACTAGATGGCAGTGCCCAGCCTGCTTTGCTTTCTATAGCGGGGAGGGGGGGGGGGAGCGCGCCTTCCACAAAGGCCCGGGTGGCATGCGGTTTTTCTTAGAAACCACCTAAACTGTGTTTTTGAGTCATGTATCAGTTCAGCCTTTTGGAGGAGAATGATTTAAGGAATGCTAAGGAAGTGTACTCCAGTCATGACGTTTAGAAGGAAAATAGCTGTCATGAACAGGCACTGTTTTGTTGAACGCAAGTGAACTCTGGCTTTTGTTTGAATTTAATGAACACATCTAAGTACAAAGGTTGCTGTTTCATTAACAGGCAGCAGCCAGGTCTCTGAGGTTTCTACTATCTCTACATTTCTTGAACAGGCTCACATTTCATTTCATTTCATTTCATTTTAGGGGAATTGAAAGTATCATATTTTTGCCTTAGCTGAAGTCCGAAGAATGTTAGTTTTGCTCATGTTCCAAAAGGAGTAGGTCAAATTGCTGCAATAATAAATACAAATGAGCTAAGTATATAGTGAGTTTGGCAGCAGCCCTCCCAGTGGTGCAGCATTAATGAATTAATTCTCTCCAAACTTAACA